ATTCCATGGCAACCAATGCTGATATCACTGGTTTTATTGCCCAAAGGAATGTGGGCAAAGAAACTCACTAATTTTCCTCATAGGAAAGACAAGAGAAATGAAGACAGTTGACCCTGAGAGGTCAAGTAAATACTTACAGCGGATCTAAATATTATGATTAATTATTCATATTTCCCCTTTGAGCTGATTCGCTACACCTAAGATATGCTTATCATTGTTTTTCAGTATACCATAGAAACGTGTGGAAAATGAATCAACAAATAATGACGCAGCAAACTTTGCAAAACACCAAATTTAAGTCACTGCCAAAACTTTTGGCCACAATTGTAGATTCCTTGGATCATGCCGAGAACATTGATACCAATTATGACATAATTGGCCTAACTTCCTAACTCCTCCTAGACCGTTGGTCTGATTTTCACCAAATTTGGCTCAGATCATCTTCAGATCATGCTGGCAAAAAGTTATGGATTTCGTGTCGATATACGAAACCGTTATCATTTAATGCATCAACGAATTTGCTGTAATGATGCCAAACTGTTCTGAGGCTGTGTCTCTGCAAAGCTTTGACATATTGACACCAAACTCTTTATGTGCTATTGTCACCTCACACTGACCATGCCACATCAATTTGGTAACAGCGCCACCTATTGGTCAAAGTGATAAACCATTCATTAACGACTAATAATGAAATTTCCAAAAATGCTAATAACTTTTGGTTAAATTACCCTTTTGTAATGAAACTGGACTCAAAATATTCCTTGGGTCTTTCTGAAAACACTGATACTAATTTTGCCATATTTGCCCGAACGTCCTGGGAAAATGGCTTCAATTACTCATTGCTACAGTTGGTCTGATGCTTGCAGCCTTGCTTGCTAGGGTTGGCCACCCCACTCACAACTGCTGCTTCGGTCACGTTTTCTCTTGACAAGAAGTGCATTTATTCAGTTGCAGAACGACTGAGAACGAGAGACGTTTCAGACGTGAGCTCCACTTCACTTCAGCGAGTCAAGTGAGCGTGGAAACGGTACTGTGTGCTCGCAGTACGTGCTCTACAATTGCACACACAAAAGTGCCGGCGCGCACTGTAGCATATATCTTTTCATATCAAATCGTGAAATAAACTACGTGCATGCAATGTCGTGGTCAGTTAAGTCATGAAGTCACATTTAAGAACATGTCTCTGAAATGGTTTTCAAAACTGTCCTGGAGCAGCCCAGCACTGTCTCCCTCATCTAACACACCCGATTCAACTCGTCAGCTCTTTAATAGAGACTTCAAGACCTGAAGTGGGTCAGAAAGGTAAAAAGAGTAAATATGATGCGTGTCAGATCTGCGTCACGTTCAGCAGCGGCAACTCTTAAAGAAATAACAGCCAAAACAACCTAATAACCAGCTGCTGTGATGTCTATTAATCAAAGGACAAAGGAAAAAAGAGGGGAAAAAATAACTTTTATAGCTTTAAGGATTAATCTATATTTAATTTAGAATTTATTGTTTGATAACTTCAATTTCAATACATTTCTGCTGAAGGGCACAGGTAAATATGAAATTTATTTTAATGGGTTTATGTGAAGATTCTTTTAAGTTCACTTAAATTAGAAGTTATTTTTTTAAGTCTTATAAATGTTCAAATTAATAGCTCTCAATTATACTGTAATGTTGAATGGCTATAGTCTATGGTTAAATATGTCTATGGTCTATGTGGGGGGGTTATAGAGAAATCAGTATTGGTATCATTGATACTGGCCTTCAGTCATAAAAAAAAGATGCCATTAAACAAATATTTAAAAATATACTGTTTTCATGTTGTTTGTACATTAATTTGAAGATTGAATGTGAAAAAATTGCAATATAAAAGTATATTTAAAAACTTTAATGTTAGGATTAATCGTGATTAATTTCAGAAAAATGTTTGATTAATTATTATTTTTTTTAATCGATTGACAGCACTAATATATATATATATATGTGTGTGTGTGTGTGTGTGTGTGTGTGTGTGTGTTCTGTAATTCATAACCACTGTGTGTACTCTTTTATTTACTTTCATACCCATTCAACCAAACTGGTGGTTTATACAGTCTAGCAGAATGTCTTTGTGTGTTCTGTTCAGTGTTTGGAACACCGTACATTGTTCGGTTCCGGTTGCAGAGCCCCTGCAGCAGGGCAGTTGGGTGAGTGTAAGGCACCATAGTCGTGGGACAAAATGCTGCTCTTGCTGTGTTTCTTTCTTATTTTGAACATAAAAGAATTTGTTTTAAAAATGTTAGTATCCAAATAGTTGATCGGCACCATTGACTTCCATAGTAGGAAAAAAAATACTATGGAAGTCAATGGTGCCCATCAACTGTTCAGATACTAACATTTTCAAAATACCTGTTCAACAGAAGAAAGAACCACATACAGGTTTGGAATAAATGGAGGGTGAGTAAATGATGACAGAATTTTCATTCTGGAAGTGAACTACTGCTTTAAGAATCTAAATGAATCTTTCCACAGCACCTTTGGTTGCAGGATGATACACTGCAGTTCTGGTGTGCACTATATTTCATTCATCCAGAAAAGCAGCAAAGAGTGAGTAAGTAAGTTGCAGTCTGTTATCTATTGCCAGGCATTCAGGATTTCCATATTGGTTAAAAACAGACTTCGGAAAAATCCAATTACAACAGGTGTTTTAAAGGAAGGTGTAAACGCTACTTCAGGCCATTTTGAATAATAGTCCATATGATAGTATATCTGAGGCATAAGAATCTCTCACAATTTGTCCTACTATGTACAAACCCAACTTCAGCCACGGAGCCCCAGGAAAAGGCACTGGCTATAATGGAGAAGCAACAGTATTTGCCATTTCATCTGACTCTTGGCATAACGAGCATGCTGCAATCTGTGTTTGAACTGTAGCATCCATTAATAGGTATGCATTTGCTAAATGTAAAAACTTATTTTTCAAAATAAATAGGTATGCATTTTAATGTATTTGCCGAATCTAATTTGGATTTTTAAAATATATTATTTATTTATATATTATTATTATTATGTTGCATTGAGAAAGCCAACATACTGTTGTGCTATGTAAACTTATTATTATTATTGTTATTATTATTATTCTGAGACCAAATTTTGCAACTGTATCTCCTAACATAACCTTCCAACCTCTTCCTATTCTTCCCACTTCCTGCACTCTACCTCTGGCGGCAGAAGCTAGCGTGAGGCTGCCTCCGCTAGCCGCTCAAGCCCAGCCACCTTACTATTACCCTTCCTCTAGCTCTGCTCCCTTTCCCTATCAATTGCCCGCAGCCCCCGCTGCAGACGCCCGCATAGAGCCTCACCAGTCAGCAATGAAAGCGAATTTGTCAATCCAATCTCCAATCTCCAGTCCATACTCGCAGAACCAGATACAGGGCTCCAGACAAAAAAAAATAGAGTAAGGAGCCATTGGCTCCTATAAGAGAAAAACTTAGGTGCCAAATTATGTTTTTAGGTGCCACAGAATAAACGTGTTTTACTTATTTTATTATTATTATTATTTTTATTATTTCCATCTGTCAATATTTGACTCATTTGATAAAGAGATTCTAT